AGGACAGGGGTGAGAGCAAAAGCAGGGGGCATTTGCTGTTTCTGAAGATGGGGGAGGAGCCACGAGCCAAGGAATGCCGGCGGCCTCTAGAAGCTAGAAAGACCAGGAAGCCCAAGGAGCACAGGCTCGTCAACACTTCGGTTTTAGGTCTCTGATCCGATGGCACTGGGAAGGCTCCCATAAGGTCAGCTGTTCAAACCCACCAGCAGCCACTCCTCGAGAGGAAGGTGAGGCTCTCTGCTCTCATAAGGGTCACGATGAGTCGGAATCAACTTGATGGCCGTGGTGGTTGGTTGGTTTGAACCTTCACCACAGTAAGAGGATCAGTTGGTGCTATTTAAAGCCACTTCGGTTTCTAATGATCTGTGACAGCAGCAACTGGAAACCACTAGAGGCATTGGGGAGGTGGTGGCAGGAGGGTGAACCGGGGAAGGACCCTTTCACAGGACATAGGTTTACCTGAAGAATTTGGAACCGTGTGCATCAGTGAAGGGTCTTAGCCAAAAAGACACAGGACGCACTTGCACTCGTGGGATGCAGAAGGACCGATGTATGGCCACGGGCCTGGCCTCGCCTCCCTGCTTCCTGGGCTAGGAGCACTGATATGGGACAAGTCACTGGCCTCTCGGGGTCGGTGTGGCTGCATTGTCCAGGGGGTTTTAGATGGGAGGCCGGGTAGAAATGCCTCAGCCCCGTCTGCCTTGGCAATGGCAGCTGTTTGCATCAAGACCAATTATACCCTCTGTAACCCACTTCTACCTGTTGTCGATTCCGCCTCAGAGCAGTCCAATAGGACAGAGCAGAGCAGCTCCCTGGGGTTACCACGGCTGTCCAGCCTGACGAACACGGGGCCACGCCTTTCTCCCACAGAGTGACTGGCGGGTTTAAACCACAACCTTCCAGTCAATCGGGAAAATGCTCAACCCATAGTGCCACGGGGGTGCCTCTCTCTCGGTTCCTGGCCCTTTCTGGAGGCTGGGAATTTTTTCCCTCCCCTTGGGCAGTCCGAGCATCCCTAGCAGGGTAGTGGGTTATATGTTGGACTGCTACCACAAGGTCACCAGTTTGAACATGCTAGCTCAGTGGTTCTCAAACTTCCTCATGCCGACACCCTTTCCTACAGTTCCTCATGTGGTGGTGACCCTCCAACCATAACATTATTTTCATTGCTATTTCATCACTGGAAAATTTTGCTACTGTGATGAATCAGGTGACCACTGTGAAAGGGTCATTTGAACCCCAAAGGGGTCACGACCCACAGGTTGAGAACCACTGTGCTAGCTACTCCGTGGGAGAAAGACCAGGCAGGCAGCTCCGTCCGGGGAAGATTTACAGTCTCGGGAACCCCAGGAAACCGTTCCACTCTGTCCTCTAGGGTCGCTGGGACTCAGAATGGTCCAGACAGCAGAGGGGTTCTGAGAAACCCAGAGAGCAGAGCCCAGTCCTGCGGGCCATCACCCTGGCACGGGTGGCGTCCCAGCAGAAGGCAGCGTGAAGCTTTTGGCTCAAGGCTCTCCTGCCCCCGAGGTACTGGCCATGCCCTGTGCTATCTCGTGGCTTCTCTGGGCCCCTCTGGCAGCACCCTCCACAACCCTGGGCAGCACAGTGCCAGCCTTAACGAAGAGGACATGAAGGCACAGGAAGGCTCAGTGACTCTCCCAAGGTCACAGCCGGTCGGTAGGAGAACTGGGACTTGAACCCGGGACTCATGTTTTCAACCCCCACACTTTCCTTGTCTGGCTCCCCACGAACTTCCCAGGCCAATAGCCAACCCTAGCCTGACTGCGGCTCCCGCTTCCCTCGTGGCTCTCCGGGTAGGGAGGCCCAAGGAGGGGGTGGCGAGCTTCTGGAGCCAGGCCCTCATCATCTGGTAACCTCTCGGGACCAGTCAGCCCAGGTCAGCGTCCCGGAGGAAGGGGGTGGGGGGGCTCATCACACCACGCTGAGGGGTCCGGGAAAGGAGGGTCAGCGTCCCGCCTCTGGTCTGGCCACTCAAGCCTGGGTTGTTCTGTTTTAAGATTTCCTAAAGAGTTCACTTCGCGTTAGGAGGTTTTTACTTTCACTGTACTGCACACCCTCAGCACCGGAAGATCTTATTAAACTTCCACAAATTGTCTGAAATAAGATAAAGATTTGAGTTGCTTTTAGGACGCCTTCAGGAAAGTCTGAGCACGTTGTTGTGTGCGTGTGATCGCATCAACATGACAAAATAAGCCACAGAACATGATTTGGGGAGCAGCCCTCAGAAACAGAGTGCGTGGCAATTTCTAGTCAGATACTTACGTCTACGCTGTGCTCATTTGGGCCTCTGGAGGTGTGCTCCATTTCACACACGGACTTACTTTCTGAACCACGCAGCCTACATACGAAGAAGAACCTTTGGTGTTCTCTCTAGCCTCGGGGCCAAGCGGCACCTGCCTTGGCCAAATCCCTACACTGTAGAGTCGGCTCTGCCGATTCAGCCAGCCCTATTCCAGTAATCTTGTGAATGAGAAGCATTCGGGAATTAAAAGCCAATGATGGAGGCATTAGTTGACCGACCCTCCACCCATCTCAGGAAAACCACTTCCCCTGGGCAGCCAGTCGGCCTGATGACGAGTCCTTGGTCCCTCAGCACAGTACCCAGAAGAGAAGTGAAATGACGGGCGTGCTCTGTGCGCGGCGTGGTCACCCTTCATCATCCACAGTCACCCCACAGGCTAGCGCTGACAGACATACACTTCAGTCAGTGCGAAACGCGTCGGCGCTGCCCGAGCTCGTGGGGAAGATTCAGACGTGAGAATACAGAAGTGTCCCAGCTTTCTGGGCTTGCTGTCTTATTGCCTTTCCCGTCGCACAGTTCCTGGGAGCGGTTGAACGCCCGTTTCCCTTGCCACTCTGGAAGTCCTTTCTGGGGAAACGAACATGTCCATCGGCGGACAACCAGCAGCCACATCGCCAGGGGTCCTTCCGGACCTCCAGGGTGGACAAATCTGATTTCTGCAGCCACGGACTAATTATCAGCATCATTATTTCTGCACTGTCCGGTGGGACCGGAGGCATCAGCCAATCTCATGGCTGTTTCCCGTAGAATGCTGACCGCATGACGGCCTGGCTGCCACTTAGGGCTGTCCGTTCTCTCAGGGAAGCTTCTGAATGGGGTCGGGGGCTTGACGAGCTCAACCACCCTGCCGGTGCATGTCATTTTGCAGCTCACCCTAACTGACATCCCCCGACACCCCCCCCCCCCCCCCCCCCCCCCCCGGCCGGAGCCAGGGGCACAGACAACTGAGCCTGTTTTAACTCTACGTTGCCCATAAGATAAGGTGACCAGACGTCCCACTTTGGGCGGGACAGTCCCGATTTTTAACCATTTTTCCTGCGTCCCGCGGCATTTTAAAAAAGTCCCGATTTTTGGAAAGAATGCACGACAGGCTAGGGTATACGGTTTTCGGCTGCCACGTGGCTATTTCACCAGGATGTGAGTTTGATCAATGGTGTCCCGCTTTACCGATGTTAAAATCTGGTCACCTTGCCATAAAGAGGGTTTCCCTCCAGCTTTGCAGACTAGAGATTGGAAAGTAAAATTAGTCGGCAGGATAGTAGTGTCAGAGGCTGGAGGGGTCTGAGGCGAGGGTCACCTGCCCGAGGGGATGCACTCTGGCCTGCCCAGGTCTCTCCACATTAGAGGTGGCAGAGGGGCAACAGGCCTGGCTGGGAGGAAACAGGCCAGGCCAGGCTGGGGCCCCAGCAGACTGCGTTCAAAAGTGCAGCCTTGGACACTTCTCCTCCCTGGGCCCTCCGCTGCTGCCGCTCCCTCCCCAGCCCAGGAAGGACACTGAACCCCCGGGGTGGGGGGGTGCTCTTCAGTTCTAGCAAGGCCAGGAGAGGAGCCATGGACACAGCTTGGCCCAGGACACACTGAGTACCAAGCCTGGAGCTGCTGTCCCCTGCTTCCCTGGCTAGTCCTCTCTCTGGGAATGGTGGTGGTGGAGGTTGTGGTGGTGGTGTGTG